TAGCTCAGTGCAGCTCAACCCAGTGTAGTTCAGCCCAAGCAAGGGTAGCCAAGTGTGGCTCAGCCTAGTGTAGCCCAGCCCAGAGTAGCTCAACCCACATGGCCCAGCCCAGAGTAACCCAGCCCAGTGTAGCTCCATGTAGCGCAACCCAGTGCAGCCCAGCCCAGTGTAGCTCAGTAGTAAGCCACTCCCCCTGCACGAGGCCCAACCAGAACAGCTTCCAGGAGTGAAACCAGCAACAGGATGAGACCACTCCCATAGCACCTCGCAGGAGTCACAGCACTGATACTCAACTACAGGGACACCGATACCATGGCCCACGCCACAGTGCTCCCTATGTAGAGCGTCCGCCTCAGTGACCTCGTCCCAGACTCCTGCCCTCAGGCGCTCTGATGCAAAAGCCACCAGTCAGTGCCCCCTCTGTCCTCCAGAGTGGCCTCCTTGTCAGAGACCAAGTCATCCCTGTTGTGGTGCCCACCAGTTCTCCAACAACGTGTAGAACTACGAAAGACGCACATAGAGCAATGTCCCCGATCAGCTCAGTGGGAAGCACGTGACACAAGTGCCCCCCAGACCAACAAACACAGTCTGCCCAGTTAAATATTCTGGATTTTCTGGAGTGCATGGCATCTCCAAACTCAACAATACGAACATCCCAGTAGGAGCACACCAGATTGCATGGGATGCAGCACAGAAACCAACCACTCTTGACTAACGAAAGCATTAACACAGAAGGCTTAACAAGCAATAACAGCTGCGTAAACCCTCAGACAAGGACTTAATGTCCCCAGGGTGAGATTCAACAATTTTCACAAAATTTCACATCTTTCATTCTATGAAAATATTTTTCGAACATTCCGTTAGCCATTTCATGGTAACAAGGAATGTGAAATACACTATTGTGGGTCTGCTGCAGAGACAGGCTTGGGGAGTGGTTGGGTAAATGGAGCCAATGGTGGAAGGAAGGTGACAGTGGTGGTGGGAGTGGTGTTGGGAGTAATGAATGCCTGTAACAAATCATAATGAAGTTTGCAAACATGGTACTTTAATAAAATGAGGGGGGAAAAAAAACAAGCAGTCTCCAAGACAAGAGGTGATTTTCTTTATTTTCTTTTTTCAGTTTGTGGGTCATACCCAGCAGTACTCCGGGATCACTCCTGGTGTGACTTAGGGGGCCATACGGGGGACCAGGGGTTGAGCCCGGGTTAACCATGTACAAGGCAAGATATTATAATATCTATAGGCCTTACCCCCTATAATATCCCTCCAGACCAACACGCAGATTTTCTATGTAGTACTCGGCTTAACATTTCATTCTGTTGAAATTTTTTTAAAATACCAACTGAGACCTGGGGTCTGAAAGCCACTGGCCTCAGTAGAAGCAGAAGCCTGGGGCTTGGAATCCAGCCCTGTCACAAGAGCAGGGAGGGAGGGCGGAACCAACTGACAAGGTTCTCACAGACCTAAGCCTGTAAACTGAAGTTCCCACCTTGTGAAACTTTTATCACATCTAACAAACGCTGTACTTACCAATGGCTGGGAAGTTTTTCCTGTATGTAAACCAAAGTCTTGACGCCACATCAGACAAGATCTCATCCTTTTCTAGATAGTTCAGGAGCAAACACAACACACATAAACCATTAATTCTATAGGTCACGCACTAGCCAAAGCTGGCAGATTCCTACAAAGGGCTTTGTTTTTACAGACCAGCCCCAGAGCAAGCAGGGTGTGGCACAGTCATACCTGTGAAAATGCTGTATTTCCTACCCAGGATCCAAACAGGTTCTGAGGTCTCTGGGAAATCTTCAAACTCGGCAAATCGAAGAGTATCATAGGTCAGAGTAGCTGTTGAAAACAAAGACACACAGAAGAGAAGAGATCAAAACAACATTTCCACGTGAAGAAGAGCTCATCGGAGTCCATGTCCCATCAGAGCTACGGCGGGGGACGGGGGGATAGCGTGAGGCCACTGTCTCCGGAGCCCAGAAAGTACGGCTGCTGTTCCCCATCCCTGGCACCACCTTGCCCAGTTTGGGAAGTGGCCAGCCCGCTTCCAAAACCTTTACAGTCTGAAGCCAGAGCCAAGTCAATGGGAGACAGAAGGTGCTGAGAAGGGCAAGAGACTCATGGTCCACAGAAAGGGGGAGGGAAAGTTGAAAGTGAATACGCCAGGGGGCCAGAAGACAGCTCCGTGGCTACGGTGCCTGCAAGCAAGAACGCACAAGTCCATCCCTGGACAGCACATGCACTGAGTGCGATCCAGGCAGCTATGACCGCAGTGCACAGGTGATCCTGGCCACAACTGGCACAACATGCAAACACAATGGTCCTGGCGAGCACTGCTACTGGAGCGTGATCCCTGGCAGCATGGGACCAGCACGTGAGTTCTGTGACTGAAGGAGCACAGCCAGGTGTGTGGGCACCAAGGCCAGCAGGGGAGAGGAGCTGAGGGAGGGAACTGTCGCACACAGCGAGTCACATGCACCCTCATGGCAAGTCTTCCCTCGGAAGCCTGTCTGTACGGCTCCACAGACCAAAGCTGCCATGCCCTGTTCCTTGCTCGGACTCTCCCCATGCTTGTCACTTGACAGAGACCACGCTCTCTCACCTCTGATGGGGTCACGTTCCTGTACCGCATGGTTGCCCCCCAAAACCAAACTCAAATACCCAGTGGGTGCATCACACACCCTCATGCACAGCAATCTGCCTGGGGCTGCGCACAGGCCCTGGGGAAGGCAATGCTGACTGCTCCCGCAGTGTGCAGCCAGACACTGCAGGACAGGGCCACTTAGTCAACCAGGGCCCATGTGAAAATGCCCTCGCTCTGACAGCTGCACCCACAAATCCCTTCCCACAGTGGGACACAGGGAGGGAGACAGGAGGGCCACGTGGAGTCACCACATCCATGGGCAGGTGCAGGCCCGAGCAGGCAGTGTCCTGGCCACAGAGGCTTAGCTGGAAGCCCAGCAGGTGGCCCTGGGAAAGACCTGAGGTGGTCCCTCAAGGATATGCCAGTTGCCAGGAGTCCAGGTCAGCGCCATCTTCCTCCCTGCGGTCTGACGTGCCATAGGGCGGAGAAGACCAAAGAGGCATGGCTGCCTGCCCTGCCTGACCCCCAGGGCGCCACTGGAATGTGCTCTTGCCCCCATCCTGGGCAAGACCAAGCTGCTCTGAACAAGGGATTACTAAACTCCAAGTTTCCGTCGGCCTTTTTTTTCCTCATCATAGTTCTTGGCACCTGTCACTGAAGGACTGAAGGTCTTAGGAGCTGGAACCGGGGAGGTCCTGCTGCCTTCCAGGCTCTCACCGGCCTGGGCACTGGCGTGTGGCACCAGAAAGGCGAAGCGGCCTGACGCCTGGCCAGGAAAGGCACCAGGCCCTGCCCCCCAAGACAACCGTGGGTGGGCGCGGGGCCCACCAAGGGCTGTGGCCAGGGCACCGGGCACAGCAACGGCCCAGCACGGTCTCTGGCAGGAGCCGGGCTTCCCACCGGGGAGAGGGCACCGAGGACGGAGGCAAGCGGAGAAGCGGGAGCGGGGACGGAAGCGGCGACACGCCCGGCGCGATGCCCCGCGGGCCCACCACGTGGGAAGCCGGGGAAGCCGGGAGCAGGCCTACTTCCCGGCGCGGCGATCGGTGGGATTCAGGCGGCAGCACGTTGCGCGGAGGGAGACAAGCCCCCTGCGGCCCTCCCAGGCCACGCCACCCCGGCCTCAGGAGCAGCCTCTCCCACAGCGCCTGTCCTGGGGAGCCGCCGGCACCCCCAAACCCCCAAGTCCCGGGGGAGGGGGTATGGGGGAGGGGTTGGAGACACACGCCAGGACCCCCCCACACACACTGGGAGCCGCGGGAAAGGGCGTGTCAGCGACCCTGAAGGGAGACGCCCCCACGGCCTGAGCCCAGGGGCCTGACGGCCGCCGGAGAGGGAGCGGCCCCGGCCACGCACCCGCCTCCGGGGAGACACCCCGCGAGCACACGCGCGCGCACACGCACTTCCCGGGCCGCCGGCGACCTCCAGCCCTGCCCGGGGTCCGCAGGCCCCGGGAGGCGCCCGCCCCGCCGCCTCCCCGGCGCGTCCCCGCGCAGCTCTCGCACCGGCGCCCCGCGGGGCAGCGTCCCGAGGTCACCCGGGCCCCGCGGCCCCCGGGCGCCCCGTCGCGCCTCAGAGGCCGGGGCGGCGCTGCCGGGCCCCCGCCGGGCGCTCCCGGAGGGGCAGGGCCGGGCCGCGGCGTCGCGGGCGGCGACCGCGCGGTCACCCCGCCGCCCGGACCCGCCCGGGATGCTGCGCCGCGAGCGACGCCGCGACCGGCCCCGGCCCCGGCCCCCCGCGCGCCCCCCCCCCGCCGCCGGGTCCCGCCGCCGCCGCCGCCGCCGCCGCCGCGGCCCCCGGCCCGGCCGCCCCGCGCCCGCCGCGCCTCACCTGCGTCCATCTTCCTCCGAGGCCGGCTGAGGAGGCGGCGTCGCGCCGACGGGCCGCAGCGCGACGCGGGACGGGCCGCCCGCGGGGCCAATCCGCGCCGGCGCGGGGCGGGCACGGGCGCGCGCCGGAAGCGCGCCGGCCGCCATCTTGGCTCCGGGCGCCGGGCGGGGCCCCGCGCGCACCGCCAGGCCCGCCCGCGCGCGCGCGCGGCCCCGGGGCGGCGGCGGCGGCGGCGGGCGCGCGGCGGCGGCGGGCCGCCCGGCGCGAGCGTCGGAGCGCGCGGGGCCGGCGCGGGCCGGCGGCGGGGGCCCGGGGCGAGCGCGCCCGCCCGCCGCGCGCCGCCGGCCCCCCGGCGCGGCCATCTTGCCGTACGGACCGGGCGGGCGCGCGGGCGGGCGCGCGGAGCCGCCGGCCGCCGCCGCCGCCGCCCCGCGCGCCCGCCCGCGCGCCGCGGCCGCCCCGCGCGCCCGCCGCGGCCCGGCGCCGCTCGCGCTGGCCGCCCGCCTGGCCGCCGCGCCCGCGCCGCCCGCGCCCGCGCGCCGCCATCTTGCCGTACGGCGGCCGCGCCGGCGCCCGCCCCGCGCCGTGTCGCCGCGCGCCTCCCCTCGGGGCGGGCCCGGCCGGGGCTCGGCGCGGCGAGGCGACGGCCCGCGCTGGCGGCGGCGCGGCGGCCCGAGGCCCGAGATGGTGATCTGCTGCGCGGCCGCCAACTGCTCCAACCGGCAGGGCAAGGGGGAGAAGCGCGCCGTGTCCTTCCACAGGTACGCGCCCGCCGCCGCCGCCGCCGCCGCCGCCGCCCGGCCACGCCCCCGCCGCCGCCGCCGCCGCCGCCGCCGCGCGGGGAAACTGAGGCCGCGGCCCGGACCCCGCGTGAGTCAGCGCCGGCCCGTGACCTTGGCCCGCCGCCCCCCGCGCGGCGCGCGCACGCGGCCGCGCCGCCGCCGCCTCCGGGCCGCCCCCCGGCTCGGCCGAGCCCGACTCGGGCGGGGGCCGCGGCCCGACGCCGCGACGCCCCGACGCCCCGACGCCGCGACGCCCCGACGCCCCGAGGGCTGTGCCCGCCGCCCCCGCGGGTCGCGTCGCGCTGCGGGCGCGGCTGCGGCGGGCCCGGCCGGCCCTGCCCTTCGCGGAGCCGGGCCGGACGGCGCGGCGCGGGCGGGAGCGGGGGTCGCGGGGCCGCGGGGTCGCGGGCCGGCAGCCGGGCGGGCGGCCCCCCTGCGGCGGGGCGCGTCCCCTCCCCTGCCCGGCCCGGCCCGGCCCGGCCCGCACCCGGGGCTCCACCTTCCCGGTCCTCCGCGAACTGAAAGCACGTGCTGTCAAACCTGCGCGGACCCCACCAGGATCCAAGCCCGAGCGGGCGGGGGTCGCGCGCGCCCTCGGCTGGGGCTTGTCGCCGCGGGCTTCGGGGAGCGGGCGGGGGTCGCACAGGCCCTGAGCTGGGGCTTGTGCCACCAGCTTTGGGGTACGGGCAGGGGTCGCGCGGGCCCTCGGCTGGGGCTTGTCGCCGCGGGCTTCGGGGAGCGGGCGGGGGTCGCACAGGCCCTGAGCTGGGGCTTGTGCCACCAGCTTTGGGGTGCGGGCAGGGGTCGCGCGGGCCCTCGGCTGGGGCTTGTCGCCACCGGCTTCGGGGTGCAGGCGGGGGTCGCGTGGGCCCTGGGCTGGGGCTTGTCCGGTGGGCTTCGGGGGTCTCACAGGCCCTGGGCTGGGACTTGTCGCCGCCGGCTTGGGAGTGCGGGCGGGGGTTGCACAGGCCCTGGGCTGGGGCTTGTCGACACCACTGACTTGGGGTGCAGGCAGGGGTCGCGCATGCCCTGGGCTGGGGCTTGTCGCTGCGGGCTTCGGGGAGCGGGCGGGGGTCGCACAGACCCTGAGCTGGGGCTTGTGTCACCAGCTTTGGGGTACGGGCAGGGGTCACACGGGCCCTGGGCTGGGGCTTGTCGCCACCGGCTTGGGGTGCAGGTGGGGGTCGCGCGGTCCCCCGGCTGGGGCTTGTTGCCGCTGCCACTGGCTTCCGGGTGCAGGCGGGGGTTGCGTGGGCCCTGGGCTGGGACTTGTCGCCGCCGGCTTGGGAGTGCGGGCGGGGGTCGCGTGGGCCCTGGGCTGGGGCTTGTCGCGGCCACTGGCTTGGGGTGTCGGGGCAGGGGTCGGGCGGGCCCTCGGCTGGCGCTCGGCTCCTCGGTCACCGCCGTCTCCCTCGCAGGTTTCCCCTCAAGGACTCCAAGCGCCTGCTGCAGTGGCTGAAGGCCGTCCAGAGGGATAACTGGACCCCCACCAAGTACTCCTTCCTCTGCAGCGAGCACTTCACCAAGGACAGCTTCTCCAGAAGGCTGGAGGACCAGCACCGCCTGCTCAAGCCCACCGCCGTGCCCTCCATCTTCCACCTGGCCGAGAAGAAGCGGGCGGCTGGAGGCCATGGGCGCGCCCGCAGGAAGGACCCCAGGAAGGCCCTGGGGGGCCTGAGGGCACGTGGGGGCCAGGCGGATGGAAGCGGAGGCGCTGTAGCGTCTTCGTCGGCACCGAGCGAGAGCCCGATGGCGCAGCCCGAGCCCCGGAGAGGCAAGCGAGCCTGTCTGCAGGGCGAGGCCTTCCCCGGAGCCTCTTCCGAGCAGGGGCCGCCGGCACCGGACGGCTTTCCCGGAGAGGGTCTGGCCAGCACGTCGTCCTCCTCCTCGTCCTCTTCGTCCTCGTCCTCGGGCAGCCAGGGCACCGGCAGTGCGTCCGCAAGCGAGGGCGGCGAAGACGGGGCCCCGGCTGACAGGAGCGGCATCTCCATGGATGACTTTACCCCGCCCGGCTCGGGGGCCTGCAAGTTCATCGGCTCTCTTCATTCTTACAGCTTCTCTTCCAAGCACGCTCGGGAGAGGCCGTCGGTGCCCCGAGAGCCTGTCGACCGCAAGAGGCTGAAGAGAGACCCCGAGCCCAGCTGCAGTGGCACCAGCCTGGGGCCTGACAAGGGCTTGGCCCACAGCCCCCCGAGCTCCACGCTCACTGCGACGCCCCAGGAGCCCTCCCAGAGCCCCTCGGCGCCCCCCACCGACGTCACCCCCAAGCCAGCCGCGGAGGCCGTGCAGAGCGCACAGAGCGACGCCAGCCCCATGTCCATCAACGAGGTCATCCTCTCGGCCTCGGGGGCCTGCAGGCTCATCGACTCGCTGCACTCCTACTGCTTCTCCGCGCGCCAGAGCAAGAGCCAGGTGTGCTGCCTGCGCGAGCAGGTAGAGAAGAAGAACGGCGAGCTGAAGAGCCTGCGCCAGCGGGTCAGCCGCTCCGACAGCCAGCTGCGCCAGCTGCGCGAGAAGCTGGACCAGCTGCGCAGAGCCAGCTCCCCTCGCCTGGGCGGCCTGCTGGCCCCCGGCCGCGGTCAGTACCCGGGGCCCCCGCCGTCCGAAGAGGGGCCTCAGCAGAGGGGAAGTAAGGGGCAGGGCTGGGGGGCAGGGGGGTTGAAGGGGAGGGGGGAACCGAGGCAGAGGATGATGCCCCGCACAGTGAGTCCACCGGAGTGGGGAAGCCCCTCTCCCCCATCCTGATGGGTCAGCATCTACCCGGAGGTCAGGCAGAGCGAGTCATCAGGGGAAAGTGGCAGGAGACCCCGGAAGTCCCAGGAGAGTCTCTGGCTTGTGGTCGAGGGTCTTGAGGTGCGCTTTCTTTAAGCATTGATAACCGTTTCTTTCGGGGGAGAGGTGGCTTGGGGCAGGGGCACAAGGACCAGAGTTGGATCTCTGCTTACTCCAGCAGGCTGGGCCCAGGCAGCGTCACCGGGTGGTCCGGCCTGGCTGCGCGCGTGTGGCTAGGAGTGTCTCTAAGCCGGCTAATCCAGCCCCCTCCAGAACCACATCGAGAGGGCTGGAGCCACGGGACAGCAGGCAGGACCCTTTCCTTTCACACGGCTGACCCGCGTTCAGCCTCCGACGCCGCACATGGTTCCCCCAAGCGCAGAGCCGGGGTGAGCCCTGAGCGCCACCACGTGTAGCCTAGAAACCAACCAAAATCACAAAAGATTTTGTAGAAAGCTCAAGCATTTGTTCTTTCAAGCCATGGCTCTGTGAAAAGAGAAAACGGCGGCGCCGGAGGTGCTGTGTCTTGTCCCTGTCTCCCTCCTGACTTGGGAGTTGGGGGCAGATCTTTCCAACTGCTCCTGCTGACGCGTCCCTCTCTGCACACCTGTGTGGAGCGGCCGGCCGCGTGTTTCTGCTGCTGTTTCTGCTCTGCCCGCCCTCACCCTGTTTCACCGTTTAGGACTTAGGCAGGTTGGTTTCTGGAGGTGATTTGTTCAGGAAGACAGAGTCCTCTGCATGTTTCTAGATGGGGACATGCTGGTGCCCCCTGCTCCCTTGGTGTGGATCAGTGTTCACAGGACACTGAGAAGGTCCCTGTGAGGGCTGTGCGGGGGCTCCTGCACCCCCAGGCCCACACCCTGGGGAAGTGCTCGGCCCTGTTCTGTGTCTCCTGCAGTGCTTCCTCGGGGCCGCGCCACTTCCTGGTGCGCTCGCTCTTGGCTTTGGCTTCCGGAGGAACGTGCTGGTACCCTCGGACCCATGGGCTTCCTGCTGCCCATTTCTGTCTGTCCTCTTGGTCCTGATTCCCTCACGGGCAAGTTCTTGGGGACTCTGGACGCCCCAAATGCCCAGTGTGTGCTCCAGCCCCGGCTCTCTCTCCAGCCCCAGGAGAGTCTGAATTTAGTTTGGGGGGCCACACCCAGCAGTGCTTAGGGACCCCTCTTGGCGGGGTGCAGGGCACCGTGTGGGGTGTCAGGAATCAAACCCATGTCTATGCATGCTTGACCAGTGCTCTCTTCACTACGCTGGGGGTCTGGCAGCAGGGTTCGAGGAGAATGCTGCCTCTCTGCTTGGACCCATTGTTCTCAGCAGCACTGAAGCAGGCTTGTCCGCAGGGTCTCGCAGAGTTTTCCCGACTCCGTGCTCCTGTGTAGAAGTGAGGGGCGTCTCCACGAGCCCAGAGGGACATCTCGCATGGCGGCCAGTTTTCATTTATGCTTCAAGCTCACGTTAGATGAACTGACATGGAAAACTCTTTTTTTTTGGGGGGGGGGGGCACACCTGACAGTGCTCAGGGTTTACTCCTGACTCTGCTCTGGGATCACTCACTCCTGGCAGGCTCAGGGGACCAAATGGGGTGCCAGGGATTGAACCTGGGTTGGCCATATGCCTTGTCTGCTGTATTGTTCTCTGACCCAAGAAAACACCTACTTTTGTTCTCATTTGGAGTCCCTGTCTTCTGTTTTAAACCTTTTTTCTAAGTTTAAAATGTTTCAGGGAGGAAGTTGGGGCCATACTTGGCAATGTTTGGGGGCTACTCCTGGCTCTGTGCTCAAGGATTCTTCCTAGCAGCGTTGGAGAATGAAGCGTCTGCCCACCCCAGGCCCCTGTGCCACCTCCAGCAGGCCTGGGACTGGAGCTCAGCTCAGGCTGACCGTCTTCGTCTTTGTGCAGCTTGTAGTCTACAGTTGTGATTAAGGTGTTAGATTCGGGACTTGCCGCTCTAGTTTTCTGATTTCGCTTTCTTGTTTCTTTTTGTATTCTTCTGAGGGTGCCTCTGAGCTGAGACCGCTATCTTCCCTTCCTGTCTGCTCTGGCGTGCCAGGCCTTGCGCGTGCTGGGGATGGAGTGCAGGCCTGTGAGCAGGTGCTCTGCTCGGAGCTGCGGCCTTGCTGTCCTGGGCACTCCCTGTCAGCGCGCAGGCTGCAGCTCCTGCCGTGGCCCCCTGTGGCCCACTCCTGGGACAGTGGCAGCTCCGTCTCCTGGGTTTCGCATCCGCCAGCGTAACGATGTGAGCATACGTTTCACTGGCTCCTACATTCACCCCTGTTCATTTGCTTAGGTGTTTAGGTGCTGACTTACTCTGATCTCAGGGACTCAACCCAAGACTCACTCTTTGCGTCCAAACGTCTCCTTTTCGGAAATGGTCGTTTTTGTTTGTTGCCGTTCGTGGGCAGTAAACTCTGGAGGGGAGTCGTGGGTGGGGTGCTTGCCTTGCACATGACTGACCTGAGTTTGACCCCTGGCATCCCGAAGGGTTCCCCGAACACTGCCAGGAGTGATTCCCAAGAAAAGGCCAGAAGTAAACCCAGGGCACCACTGTACGTGGCCCCAAAGCCAGAAAAATCCACAGGTTCCACACCAAGGCAGACTCCAGAGAACCTGCATCCCGGGGGCGGGCTCAGACTGGAGGCACCAGGAAAGATCTGAAGCCCCAGCCCACCCTGTGGGGTCCTGCTGGTCTCCAGAGGAAGCCGGTGCTGGTCTGGGCCACAGTGCTGGTTGGAATGGAGCACAGTGGCCACACGGGGTCACTGTCCGCCAAGGCCTCGGAGCTGAGCTCCGTAGCCCGCACTGGGGCAGGTGCAGGAGGGGCTGATGACCAGGCACTTTGTCGGGGGCCTGAGCCCTGACAGGGAGGAGGAAAGCTTGGCTGCTGGGAGCGTGTTCTGGGGGCTGCAGAGGGAGCTGGTGCCAGAGCTGGGTGGGCCTGGAGGGGAGGTCCTGGGGCACCAGCGGAGAGGCAGAGGCGCATACCGGTTAGCAGGCCAGCGAGGCGGGGTGGACACGGCTCCAGAATCAGGGCTGCAGCAAGGGGTCCACCCGCGGTCCCCCCCTCAGACCTGGGCTTCTCGTTCATCCTCAGAGCGTTCTCTCGGTGGCCCCTGGTCTCAGTTTGCAGGACAAGTCTGTTGCTCAATGAAGGGACCTGTTGTTCGCTTGAGGGTTTTTGGTGATGTGGCCGTGTGCCCTTTCCTTCCTTTGTGGTCTTCACTGCAGGGTAATGCCAGCAGGGGGCTAGTGGCAGGTTCCAGTTGCCCCGGGAAGCTGAGGGGGCTAACACCGTGTGCTCCCTGAGCTGACTCGGGTCCGGCATAAGCATGCCTGAAAGCCTGACCCTCATGTCCAGCATGTTGTCCAGCAGTTCCAAGGCCCCCCGGCTGATCCCTCCTGCTTCCTGAGAGTCTGAACGTCCCCAGTGCAGCCAGGCACTCTGCAGTGAGTGGGGTCCAGCCTTCTTGTCCGCAGAATGATTTCACACGCGTGAAAGAAACAGAGGGCTGGGGCCAGAGCCACAGACCAGCGAGTATAGCACGTGCATTACCTGCAGCAGATCCGGGCCTGATCCTTCACCAGGTCCCTGAGGAGGCGCATTTCCCTTCTCATCCCTTCCCTCCTGGCACCCCTGGTTCCTTGCGTTCTGAGCATTCTCAAACGTGCCAGTTACACAGAAGTGCAGGGCCTCCAGCCGGCCGCACTTGCACCTGTTGGCTGGGCAGTTGGGGGTGTTTCAAAGGTGCTGCCGGAATGCCTCCCTCCCGCCGGGCTCTGCGGGTCCCTCAGTGAGTGTGGAGGTGACAGTGTCCCCTAGCTCTGGATCTCCACGCGAGTTTGCATGCATCACCCAGGTGCTCAGCTGGCTTGAAGCCCCGTGCACGTGCCCGCACACATACGCACACACACTCAGGGTTTTGTGGATGAGCAACACTTGTGTCCTTTCTAGACTCTCAGGAGGAGAGTGTGCTGGGTGCGGAACAAGCCTTTTCAGCTGCCTACTGCCATGGTGTGTTTCGGGTTACCGGGGTTCATAGCTTGGTGGCTCTAGTTTGGTTAGTTTTGTACTTTATTTAACCACTGTGGTTTACAAGTAAAGTAAAGTAAAGGCCCTCCCGTTGATCATCGATTTGCTCGAGCGGGCCCAGTAACGTCTCCATTGGAGACTTTGTTGTTACTGTGTCTGGCATATCGAATACTCTCGGTAGCTTGCCGGGCTCTCCGAGAGGGGCGGAGGAATCGAACTCGGGTCGGCCATGTTGGCTGCGTGCAAGGCAGACGCCCTACCCGCTGTGCTATCGCTCCAGTGGTTTACAAATTTGTTCATAATATAGTCGTTTGAGGCATTCAGTGTTCCAGGGCGAATCCCACCACCTGAGTGACCTTACCCTCATCATTGTCCCACTTTCCCACCAGCCTCCCACGCCTCCACTCTTAGCATACACGAAATAATTTTATGTCACTTGTTACAATTAAATGCCTAATAGAATCATCACAAAGTATTTAAGGAGCCGGAGCGATGGTAAGTGGGTAAGGTGTTTGCCTTACACACAGTCAGCCGGGGTTTGATCACCAGAATTCCATATGTTCCCCTCAAGCGCCCTTCGGAGTGATTGTTGAGTGCAGAACCAAGAGTGACCCCTGAGCACCACTCGGTGTGGCCCCAAAACCAACAAACTGAGTAAGAGAGTTTGCGAGAGCTGTATCTCGCAGTGGGGTCATCTAGCCCTTGTCTGAGTGGGGTTTTTGTTTTTGTTTGTTTTTAAGCTCTCCAGCCTTGTGCATTGCTGCTCTTAAATGTGCTCATTT